CTCAGCTTGCTGCCATGCAACAACAGTTTGGTATCTTTCAATTAGTATTGGCTCAGCTCCTAACTCAAAATAATCCTAGCGATCCCTTCATCAATTTACTCAACCTTACCCCACAACCCCCAGCTCAACAGCAAGATGCTCAACTAGTTCAACATGCTCCTGCTCTCAGTGAGTCTCAAGGTCAATCTCACATAGCCCCAGCTCAACAACCTCTACCTGATGATGTCACTCGACATCTGGACAGTTTAGAAAAACTGGTAACTGAACAGCGAGGTGCCCCACCTCCACACCATAATACTGACTCCATATCTCATCCTCTGAACACCAACATCACATTGGAACCTTATCCTGTTGGCTTCAAAATTCCTCAACTCGAGACATATGATGGGACGAAGGACCCCGATGATCACCTCCATGCCTTTTATTCCTGTATGTAAGCTTAGAACACCTCTGATGCGTTAATGTGTAAGATTTTTCCCTCCACTCTTCGTGGTGATGCCCGAACCTAGTATTATAGTTTGCCCCCAAGATCTATTAGTTCTTATTTAGAAATGACATCTGCTTTTGCCACAAAGTTTTCCAACAGAAGGTTGATGAGGAAAACTACTTCTAAACTGTTACGAGTCAAACAGAAGGACGGGGAATCCCTAAAGAATTACATGAGCAGGTTCAATGATGCAGTTCTTGAAGTCAGCTCCTTCAACCAAGCTATGGGAATTGCGGCTATAATTCAAGGTCTCCAACATGAAAGATTCAGAGATAGCTTAATAAAGCATCCTGCTGCTACTTTCCACGAGGTTAATGACAGATCGTTGAAATTCATAACTGCTAAGGAATATGCTTTATCCCAAAAACTAGTTCTTCCTAGAAATCAAAACCCAGATTGGAGAGATGAGGATCAGAGCAAAAAACGGATGAAGACAATACAGAACTGAGGTTTGATGATGACCTCCACACCGAAATTTGAAAAGTCGAACTCAGTACCTCCCCAGCAAAATATCAGTAAAACACCAATTATATGGACTCCTTTCAATTTGCCAAAGTCGCAGATATTCATGCAAATAAAAAACAAGATGGATTTGAGGCGACCATGGCCGATGAGAAGTTCAGCTACTACACGTGATCATACCAGATACTGTGATTTTCATCAAGATCATGGTCATACGAT